TTTAAATCAATTTAAATCAATTTAAATCAATTTAAATCAATTTAAATCAATTTAAATCAATTTAAATCAATTTAAATCAATTTAAATTAATTTAAATTAATTTAAAATTTTGTTTTTTATTCTAAATACCAAATTTAAAAATAAAATACCAAATTTAAAACAAAAAACATTATATCAAATTTATCTCGTATTACTTTATGAAGATACTTGCCAAATCTTAACATACGTCACCTGTTACGTAACTTACAGCCCTCAATGCTTCTTTGTAATGAATCACAGGTATCACCACATACGTACTTACGACAAATATGCATCTTTATATGTAAAAGGTTCACAAAGACGGACAATGAAAAATTATCCATTTTTTCCTTTAATTTTTTCTCGAGTTTTTTTTTTTTTATCTGCATGTAATAATAAAATAATGTGGACTATGAAACACAAGTTGACTTTTTCTAATGATGCTCACGAGTTCCTAAATATAAGAATGTAATGATAATATTAAAAAAAAAACGTGTAAGTAATTGTTTTCTCGTTTCTCGCTTCATGCTCATGTAATCTACAATATGATTTAGCTTCTTTTGTGATATTCGGGCATATAGTTATGCAAATGCTTAGTTTAATGCCATTCGGCCATAAGTTTAATTAGATATTAGATATTCGGGCATATAGTTATGCAAATGCCTAGTTTAGACGTCATTCGGTTATAAATTTACTTAAATTATTTTGCCAATATATATATACTATGTTATATGCTATGTTGTATATACGTATATACTACGTATGTTATACTTGAATGCTATGTCATTTATACTTATACTTGATACTTGGATGTTATGTTATACTTGAATGTTATACTTGAATGTTATACTTGAATGTTACATATACTTGAATGTTATACTTGAATGAAATGTTTATTTTATCAGGGTCTACTGATTTGAATAAAAATTAAAATTTGGAAATATATAACCTCCTTCGGTATTTCTTTAGTGCTTCTTTGGACATATGATTCAAAAATAGGTTATCGAATCATGCACCATATATTATTATTTAAACATTTTATGTAAGTGATCCATTCATACATGTCCATAACGGCTAGTTTCAAATACTAATGTGGTTTTCATTGGTAAGGACCCCATATAATGCCATATAATATCACATGTTCCCCATATTATATCTGTACTAGTGTGTACTAGTGTGTGTGTGTACTATTAACTGTACACTGTATTAATTATATCGCACGTACTATTATCGTGTGTTATATTCATACTATATCGATAACTGATAAATTGATATATTGATATATTGATCTATTGATATATTGAACGTATATTGATATTGTGGAACCAGGATCCGGTATAAGTCCGGTGCATGAAATATGTAATTTGATTGGATAATTATATGCCGATCCGCCAAATGTGATTGGCTGATAATCACGTGGAAGGACTGACGACAAACATTGCTGATCAAAGTTTAAAAACTGCTAAGAAATTGAAAGTCTCGCTCCGGAATACGTAATATTATTATTAATGTTAACTGCATTGTATATATTGTATGTAATTAACTTTATTTATTACATATATGTAAATCAATGAATGAATGTTATCATACAAAATTATTATTTTTATTTATTCGTGTTGCCTGTCTACCGGTAACCATAATTTCATTTCCGGTGGTAATTCTTCTTCTGCGTAAACTCTATCAGCAAAATATATCCTCCTCAACCTGCAATTTGCATGTATTTGTACTCTTAATGTTTCAACATAATTCGTACTGTAAGCTCGTCGCGTAAAATCTGCAAGGTTAAACTGAACTTGATTCCATCCTTCATCTAATCGCATGGGCATGGTACAAATGTATGGTTTAACTCGAGTTACTGCCTAAAGGTGCATAATGAAAATTATTACTTTATTCCTTTCTTCTCTTTAAAGTTATATAAAATAAATTATTTGATATAAAATATTTCATATAAATCAATTATTTTAATATTTTATATTATATCAAATATTTAATATCAAATATTTTATATCAAATATTTTATATCAAATATTTTATATCAAATATTTTATATCAAATATTTTATATCAAATATTTTATATCAAATTATTATTACCTGAAAATTTGATGCTCTGAATCGTCTTTTCACATTTTTGTCGTCCATTACTTGAACCTCGAATGTGAAATATTTTTTCAAATTTTTTACAATAAGAACAAGAATTGGAAGTTTGATCCCAAGTGATCTATTCAATTGTGCTGGGCATGTTATGTATGTTGTAGCAACATTCGGTGAAACTACTTCTATAACTATTGAATGTATGTCTTCGTCTGTCACTCGTGAAACATGACTCTCTTCATGTTTAGCATCCGTTTCTGTGTGCCATATTTGTAAAGGCTTGTTACTAAAAAAATATTAATATTAATATCTATTTCATATTGAATTATCAAAACTACTATGTTTCAATTTGAATTATTTCAATTCAATTTTTAAACCGTCTTACCCAATGCTGTATAAAATCGAAAGAAAACCTGACTGTTAACGTTAGATTAGAAGTTAGTTTGAATATTAGATTGAACGTTAGATTGAATGTTGGTTGAATGTTTGAATGTTAGATTGAAGTTAAATTAAATACTGTGAAGCTTAGTATATACCTGAAAAGTATTACGGAACATTATGTGCTTACGGTGGCTTCAGAAAATAAAAAGTTTTTTTAATTTGGGGTGAAATTATGATAATTCTGTAATTCCGTAATTCCTGTAATTCGTTTGGAATGAATGGAACAAATTTTGATTGGATGAGCATTTTTGATTGTTTTGATTGGATGAATTTTAATTGGCTGATTAAAAAAATTTTTTATCGTTATCATCATCTATCTATTGCTATCGCTATCACTATCGCTATTACTATTGTTATATATTTTATCATGCCAAAGGTTAAATCACAAAAGTTTGGATACTCCCATAATAGTGCTAAAAATGTGGGCACTTCGGCAGCATCAACGTCAACATCCACCGCAAAGGCCATGGCCCCTTTATTCAAAAAAGAATTGGGTCAACACATTTTAAAAAATCCTCTTATTGCTCAAAACATTGTTGAAAAGGTTGCGGTTTGTCTTGAGCTCATGAATATATTTATTAAAATGTTTTTTGACCAAGCTTGGCTATCATAAAAAAAGGCTGGTTTGAAATGCACAGACGTCGTTCTCGAGGTAGGTCCGGGGACGGGTAATCTTACCACGAGAATTCTTGAACGTGCAAAAAAAGTTGTGGCAGTAGAACTTGATCCGAGATTGGCTGCGGAATTGGCAAAGCGTGTCCAGGGAAAGTATGTATCTCTTAGACATACATTATTTCTTAAATGTCCTTTATATTTTTCTCAATTATTCATTTCTCAATTCTCGATTATTCATTTCTTAATTCTCAATTCTCGATTATTCATTTCTCAATTATTCATTTCTTAATTCTCAATTCTCGATTATTCATTTCTCAATTATTCATTTCTCAATTATTCATTTCTTAATTCTCAATTCTCGATTATTCATTTCTTAATTCTCAATTCTCGATTATTCATTTCTTAATTCTCAATTATTCATTCGTTTACAGGCCGGAACAACGGCGTTTAGATATAATGGTGGGAGATGTTATAAAAACAGGTCTTCCATATTTTGATGTTTGCATTAGCAACACACCGTATCAGGTTGGTACTCTGATAAATAGTAATTCTTCATTTTATTATAATAATTCTATTATAATAATTCTTCATTTTATTATAATAATTTTATAATAATTCTTCATCCTCTATTATAATAATTTTATAATAATTCTTCGTTTATTATAATATGTAGATCTCTTCGCCTCTTATCTTTAAACTTCTCGAGCATCGACCATTGTTCAGATGTGCTATACTAATGTTTCAACGCGAGTTTGCTTTACGCTTAATTGCCAAACCAGGTGATAATTTATATTGTCGATTAAGTGTAAACATCCAGTTATACGCAAAAGTAGATCACATAATGAAGGTAGAAATTAAATACTAATTACAATTAAATTTATTCTTATTTACCTTTTTGTAATTATTTTTTTTGTAAATATTATCAAGATTGGAAAAAATAATTTTAAACCTATTCCACAAGTTGATTCATCTGTGGTTCGAATCGAACCACGTAATCCGCCACCACCAATTGATTTTAAAGAATGGGATGGTTTGATGCGGATAGTGTTTGTTAGAAAGAACAAGGTTCGTTAACCTATCTTATAACTATCTTGTTTAATATATATGACCTGTTTAATACAATATCAATAATATATTATTATATATTATTATATATTATTATTGAAATTATTGAATTGTTTTAGACGCTTGCTGCAAATTTCAAGACATCTTCAGTTTTAGAGATGATAGAAAATAATTATAAAGCGTTTTGCTCCGCAAATGAAATGGTAATCATTGAATCATTTTTTGTAATCATTTTTGTAATCATTTTTTGTAATCATTTTTGTAATCATTTCTGTAAAGTCTTTATATGAAAAATATTTATCATATTTATTTTATCTAAAAAAATAAATAAAAAATAGATGATTGAAGCGAATTTTGATATAAAGGAAAAAGTTATTAATATTCTTAAATCTGTTGGTTTTGCTGAATTAAGAGCTGCAAAAATGGATGTTGATGATTTTCTAAAGTATGTTTTTTGTTTTCTGCATTGTTTCATGTTTCTTTTTGTTATTTATAACATTAAATACAAGGTTTTCTTTTTTTATGTTTATTCATTATGTTTATTCTATTTATATCTTTCTCCATTTTAGGTTACTGTACGCATTTAACAAGGAAAATATACATTTTTGTTAAGTTGTTATTATCCGGCATTGTCCATTATTACATGGGGTCTTTGCAGTAGAAAGGGCAGATACTGCCAAAAAATGAAAATCGAGTTTTTGCTATATTCGGATAAATTTTGACACGGGCTACATTTTTTAATTATAAATGGAAATGGATTCTCATAATAAAAAATCGAGATATTTTAAAAAAACTTTTGGAGGGTTTCGTACATCACGAGATTATCCGATATAACTGACCAATAAAATCACGAAAATTTTGATTAACCCGGATCAGTCCGAACAAAACAAACTCGATTTTCTCAAAATCATATATATTGACACATCCGCCCTTTCTACTGCAAAGGCCCCACATGCTTTCATAAAAGGTGATTTGCTTTGTTTATTCATTTTCTATGTATTCGATACTCTTACACTTTGTTTGCAATACTTTATTATGGTATTAATGTATTTTATTATGGTATTAATTAATCATATTACAATATTAAATGGTTATTAAGTTATTAAGTTATTAAGTGATATTAAATGATGGTATGAAAAAGATTAATATATATTACAAGAGAAATCCATTTTTTTTAATCAAGTTGTATGCATGCAATAGTTAAAGTAATTCGTTGTACGTACGTACAGTACGTATGATATCGAATCAGTATTTTGCCACCTAGATCGTATAGATCGTCATGGTTCTTAATAACCATATACAATGCAAGCAATGGTTTTCTAATTGAAAGAATGCAAAAAAAAAATTGCAACGTATCGGTGTGTGTATCAATGTGCATCGGTGTCTATATTCCATTATTTTTTTTTCCTATAAGGAGAATAATTAACGGGGTCAAGATAGATGTGTAACATTACACTACTTTTACACTTGAATAATTTTCATTTATCACTTGTGTTTTAGAATCCATATTATCGTAACACATATAGTCACGTGCATAAGAACAATAAAAAAAAGTTCCTATCTGTTCTCAAAACCCGGTTGTGTAATTTATATCTTTTTTTAAACAAAAAAAAAAAATTTATTATATCAAAAATATCTCTAAATTGAATTGTGATTTCTAATTTACACCATCGCCAAGGAGTAAACTTTTTAATACCTTTTTATTTGTCGTATAAAGTATAGACCGTTCACAATGTCTAGTGCTGCAAACATCTTGACGAAACAGTTTAAAGGTGCTTCTATTCTCTCCTTTTTTACCTATACACGACGAAAGTCGCTTTTGTAAGTTTAATAAAGATTTCGAGATTATATTTTTTTTTAAAAAAAAATACCTTGTTTGATTCTTGAACGTGCAGAGCTAACAAGTAATCCAGTACCTGGTTTCACGGTTGCCCTGCCTGACGACGGCAACGTGTTTGAATGGTAAGTCCGTTGATTTCAATATGTTTCTTACCTAATACTTTCTTACTAAGGATGTTACCTTACCTGCCCGTACAGGGATGTAGGCATCATAGGTGCTCCGGGTACGATTTACGAAGGCGGTTATTTCAAGGTACCGAGTTTGCCTCACGTGATGGTTTAACCTTTTCCAAATTTAACAATTGTTATTTGTTTTGAATAATAAAAGGCTACTCTCAAGTTTCCAAATGACTATCCGTATAATCCTCCAACCTTTAAATTTAACAATGAATTCTTTCATCCTAATGGTAAGATATATATATATATTCTCTTTATTGTATTATTCATTAATTGTTTTGTTTCGTTTTCAATGATCATCGGATAATCTTTTTGCGTAACGCGTGATTAAAATGCATTTTATAGTCTACCCAGATGGCCGTCTTTGTATTTCTATTCTTCATCCACCTGGTGACGATCCCACCAGCGGTGAGACAGCTGCGGTTTGTTTATAATGTGATTTTTTTGATTTTGATCTTATTTTAATAATTAGATTTTTAAAATTACTATTTTTTTTTTAATATTAGGAACGTTGGAATCCAACTCAAAGTGTTGAAAGTTAGTATTTATTTGATTTCGCTATTGATTACCTTTTTAAGTTAATCTGTTTTTATATTAATTTATTAATCACATTGTTATTTTAGGTATTTTGATCAGCATTGTTTCTCTTATGGGTGACCCAAATTGTTCTAGCCCCGCTAATGTGGTATGTAAATATAAATTTTTAAATGTAACATTTGTTAATCTTTTAAACTATTTTTAAATTTTCGTTTCATTTGTTTTTAGGATGCTGGGGTAAGTTTATCATAAAATATATATGTCTCAAATAATTTTATCTCGAATAATTTATCTTGAATAATTGATATAATTATCGTTACTATGATTACTATTATTATTATGGTTATGGTTTTTGTTATTATTAGGTTATGTATCGTAAAGATCGGGAGTCTTACAATTCTATTGTCCGATGTAAGTAAGCATATATACTTATTGATTATATAGTGACAGTATTGTTTACCGTATTTTTAATTTCATTTAAAAATAGCTCAAGTTGAAAATTCAAAGAAAGACATTCCTGAAGGATTAAAGATACCTACAAGTGGTAAGAATTTATTCTACATTTGAATTATTAATATAATTAAATATAATAGGATTATATTTTAATCATATTTTAATATTTTTGTAGCCGATGATTTTGTTCAAAAACAACGTCATACTGAAGATGAACATGATGAAAACTTTTGGTACGCTTCGGACGGCGACGAAGACATTGATGACGATATGGAAGATTATGTAACGTCTGAAGAAGATGAGGATGATGAAGAAGATGATTGATTGAACTTTATATAATCACTGTTTGCAACTTTCTTTGATTCATTTAAATGTCTCAACCTAGAATAATAATATTAATGCTCGAATAGGATAATAAGGATTCATTACATATTAAAAAACATTTACTTTTTTTTTCAAATCTTTTTGCCCTCTTTTTTTTTTTTTTTTTTTTTTTTTTTTTTTGTACCATAAACTTTGTAAATTGCTGTTTCTTTTCTTTTTAAACGGATGACGGTGTCTTGTTTGGTTCTGGGTACATTTTAGAAATAAAACTCGGAACTGTTCTTTTTTAAGTAATTTATGTATATTTATTAAATGCCAATTGATGAAATGATCCAGTCATATTGTATTATGTAATATTGAAAACAAATTAAAGAAAAAAAGAAAAAAGGAATTTGAAATTTGTCGCTAATTTTTTTTTTATGGCTTTTGTGGAATTAGAGATTCTTTTTATTTCATATGAAATGAACGCACTTTATCCTTTATCGTTATAACAGTTTTCTATCACTGATGAGTAGCTGATGGGTGGTAGAGATGGTGATTGATGAAAAATTTTTTTGATCTGTCATGTGATCGATCATCTATAAAGTGTTTTGATCGAATTACGATCGATCAAAAAAAAAGGGGTTTTTCCGTTGGAAATTCTACAACTGCATTTGCGTTTGTTAATATCATTATAAAAATTAGCACCTGCCTAAAGTTGTTTCAAACTCTTGTTGTTACAATTCGGCAATTCGGAAAAACCTACTCTTTATTGCCGGATTTAGCTTGAATCGTAATAATTAGATACAGTATATAGCTAATAAATTTAAAAATGATTTCTTTTATTCAATTGTCAATATCGACAACGTTTTTTATTATTCGTGACAACAACAAGCAGCTTTTTATATAAAATTTTAAAGAAAACGTACGCGCGAATTAAGTAACTATATATATCTAATTAAAAAGGAAAATCATTACGCAAAATGTAATGGTTGTACGACTAATAAAAAAAAATTTTTTACTAGTGGAAATATGGCAATAAATTTTATTACGAAAAATTTTTGTAACGCTTTAAAGATTTTAATTTCAAGGGCTAATCTCAGATAGGTTCAACTTTTAAGCAGGGAAATGAAATTAAACATGGAAAATAATAAAGGTAAAGATTACGTATTCTTGTTGGTTAACTATTTAATGAATATTCATTTTACATTTTATTCATGTTGATTTGTCTGAGCATAAAAAAAAGTGATTTGCATTTAAATTTATGAGTCGCACGAATAACGTGAAATAATTACGTACAGTACACAGTACTGTTAAACCACTGTTAAACCTGCATAACTCATACGTACGTACAAGGGGAATCCTGGTCAGCTGTGCCAGAATTGATTGATTAATTTTGCCCAAGATCACTAGCACTAAAGTTACAAATTTACTAATAATGTCATAGCGATAACCAATTCACTAAATAAAAAGCGCCTAGCTGATAAGTTTGCTATAGACTATGTTGGAATACCGTAATAGATAGTCACTAATAAGTATAAGTGGCCAAATTTTATCTTATACAGGGGGATCCCGAAATTCCGCAATACGGGTTAGCATAATCTATAGCCAAACTATCATCTGGGAATTTTTCTACTTAATGATATCATTAGCGTTAGTAAAAATTTTTGGCAAAATTGATCACCAGCCGATCGGAGTTATGATTTTCTTTACACGAGATCTTATATAAAGTTTTTTAAAACTTATTTAGGTTAGGGTTAGGGCCTATGTTAGGGTTTGCATTTAGAAATTTTAATAACAAAATCGTTCAATAAAAAACCTTTTGTTAATGCATAAAAGGTGGTTTTCTATGCAGAATCTCGAGTTATCCCTTAAATAGTAAGCAATTGCGGGCAAATTTGTTTGCAATTTTTAGTATAAATTTAATTTATTTTTTTAAAAAATTTGTTATTAAAATAAAATTTTTTTTAATAATATATAAAAAAATTTTATTTAGTTGACTAAAGAATCACTAATTAAATTATTTTATTTTTTAGAATTATATATCTATAGCTATAGCTACATATAAATATATATTACTAGAAACTGAGAACCAGTGTAAGTTCAAAGTATAAAATGAATATTATATTGTTATATAAAAAAATTTTTTTATATTATTTATTATACAAGTATACAAATATAGATATGTGGCATTACAAATGAAAAATATCAAAATTACATTATTGATATTTTTAGTAATAATATATCAAAAATATAATTTTGGTTATCAATAGATATAAATATATAAGTCTTCTGCTATGCTCCAGACAATAAAATTAATAAAATTGCTAATATCTCAAAATTTTATTACTGTATAATAATCCTATTATATAACATAAGCAAAAATATTTATTATACAATTTTATTTTAACTTAACTCTAACTCTAATCTTAATATAAACTTAATTTAACTTTATTTATTATAGTGTTCTAAATTTGTTATAATTTTTAACTTTAGCTATATATAGGCTATGATTATAAAAAAATTAATTTTATATTTTTTTAAAAATATTAATAGTAAAACTATATTTTTATCTTTATTAAAATTTGATTAAACTTTCTTATAAAAAAAATATATATAGTCAGACCTCCCTAAATACAACCTCTCTAAATGTATATATATAAAAAACCTTTTTAAATATTTATTTTTTTTTGGGCCTAACTAATATAATACTTATAAATTTTTATCTCTCTAAATATACTGTATAACCTCTTTAAATGCATATTTTCTCAAATTTTTACTATAGTTTCAATGTTATGCATTTAAAGAAATCTGATTATATTTAAATTTTATATTCTAAAATTATAAGAAAAAAACTTAAACTAGTTCATCTGTAATCTAAACCAAATTTACTTTACTTTTTATTATTAATTAGTAATTTATCAATCAATTAAAAAGGGTTTATAATGTAATTTAATGTAATTTATATATAGAAATTAGAATTTTTAAAATATAAGCTGCTAAGGGTGTGGTGACTTAGTAAAGTTGGCAAGTTGTCGCACCCCAAGCAGCAGGACTAAAGTTCGAATCCCACCAGTGACAAAAATTTGAATTATAAAAAATGCATTTGGAAGACTGTATCTTATTGGGTTGTAGAACCTGTAATGGTGGTCATACCAGCTTGTACTGGGAGGTAGTGGAATATGTAGTGTGATGTACAAGTTACACAAAATCTAA